ATGTATATATATATATAAAAACACTACTTCCCTGGGCCAGCATATGGCCCGGTGGTTAAGGCACTGGATTTCCACATGGCTGATCCTAGTTTGAGTCCCAGACCCTACAACTTGAAAATCACACCTGGTGTCTGTGTGTGCATGCCCAAAATCCCAGGAGGAGAATGGAGGAGAGGAAATGGCTATGTGGCCATCCCCCCGGGGGCTGATTTCTCACTTTCTCTGTCTCTCTCTTGTCTCTCTCTCTCTCTGGTGAGTGCATGTGCCCAATGACAGAAACCTAAAAGAAAAACACTATTTGAGCCATCCAGGCAACATGGTAGTTAAGGCAACTGGATCCCACACGGCTGACTATACCCTTCCAGTCCAGGACCCAGCAGCTTGAAAAACATGGTGTGTGTGTTTGTGCATGCCCAAAATCCCAAAGGGAGAGGGAGGAGGAGAGACCATCCTAGAGGGTGTTTTAGGAGGAGGAGAGACTGTGTCCCTCCTAGAGGGTGTTTTATCTTCCCCAAGCCCCTCCATCTCAAGCTAGCCCATGGACCTTAAAGCATTAAAGCAAAAAGCACATGCATGTGGAACACAGACCACACTCTCTTGCCCTCCACCATGTTGTAATGCAGCCAGAAGATCCTCATTAGATGTGGCCCCAGACCCTGGACCTCCAAATTCATGAGATATTGGGAGCTTGTCTGCTATCAAGCGGTATGAGGGACCTATAAGATGTGGGCTATTCTCTTGGGTCCTCTCCCTGGACTGCAGGCTTCACACAACCCTCCCCCACCCTGAGATGCCAAAGCCTGATCATCACCTTTCATGACAAGAAAGATCCCTCTGACACTTTACAGTGGCCTTAATCCTGGGAGGTAGCCAAAGGCCAGTGTCATAAGCATGTGTGACCCCCAGTTACCCCAAAGAGGTCATGGTGACCTCCATTTATCACTTTATAATAGAGGGGTCTTTCAAAAGTTCATAGAAAATGCTTATTATGGGGACCAGCAGCAGATGACATAATGATTACATTACTTATTTGACCACAGTTCGAGTCCTGGGCCCAGTGGCTTAAAACACTCTGGGCATGTGTGTGTGCACACCCAAAATCCCTAGAGGAGAAAGGAGAAGGGATTATGATGTGGCCAACCCCCTAGAGGGTGATTTCTTGCTTTCTATCTGTCTCTTTCTGTTCTCCAGTGAGCACATGTACCTTATAACAAAAATTTCTCTCTAAAAAATAAAAAAAATGCATATTGTGAAAACACTATGCATGGATTTCAAAATTTTTACACCAAAATACATTGGTAGTGTCATTCAAACAAACAACACTAGGGAACCAGCAGTTAGCATAATGGCTATGTCGCTGGACTCCCACGTAGTCGACCGCGGTTAGTCCCGGACCCGGTGGCTTAAAACTCACGCCA